ACTGCTGTATGGAAAGTGAATTTGCTCTGTAAATTTTCACCCAAATCACAATTAAAAAAAAAAAAAAGTTAGTTCAGCCTTTCAGCAGTGACAAGGAAGATAAATAACAATGGCAGCCAAGGATATTGGGTGGCATCAGAGGAAGGGACACCTTTGTGTAACATGTCAACCCCAGAGACAGCACCCTCTTGCCAATGTTTGGAGGGCGCAGAAAGGTTGGTTTTTGTGATGTGACACCCCAGGAGTACCTCCTATAAATGGCAGATAGCCTGAAGGGGTTGGTTGATAGCATGCCTTTTTGGAAACTGCACAAAGGTGCCCTCTGAGTATGAGAATTACACGAAACAGTCCTTCCACTTGGCCAATGCAGCCCAGTATGGTTTGATTTAGTCCCACAAACCTTGTACAATCTGTACTCAACAGTTTTGGGTTCAGATTGCTAAGGTTTGAATCCTAACTATGTGACCTTGGGTGGTACTCAGAACCTGCTCTGTCTTCATGCCCTCATCTATAAGATGTACCCTACCGTTACTGTGTGGATTAAATAGTAATAACAAATAGAATGCACTTAGTACAGTGCCTGGTGTAAAGTCAGCTGGTGTTCTAAAGATCTTGGCTATTACCATTGTTTTTACGAACTTTCTTCTAAAATAAGATTTAAGAGGTAAAACTACTTTTAAAACAAGGCTTGCAGGATAATGCTGGCTTTCTTACCACTAGAGTCTGTTTCAGAATCAGAGTCACTGTCACTGTCATGAGAATACTTCTTGTGTTTTCTTTTGGATGATTTTTTCTTTTTCCTTTTTTTCAACCTTTCTTTTGAACGACTAGACTTCTTCTTTTTCTTTTTTTCTTCTATATAAGATACAAATAAAAAGTAACTTCTAAAGAGGTATTCCTGAGCATCAGTTTTATTATAATTGAAATACAATACTAAAAAGAAATAGATGATCGGCAACTTGAGTTAAAAAAAAAACAACTCTAACATTCAACTATTAATAAACTTCCTTTTTAACTTTCCAACAAAAAAGCTCTGTATTTAAACCCTACCTTCTGAAGTAGATGATGAAGCAGTGCTTTTCTTTGGCTCTTCATCCTCTACTGGTGTATGTTCATCAGAGCTGAATTTAAGGAAACCAATTATTAAGAATTAGAAAAGTGGTGAAGTATGAAGGAACCATGGAGTTTAACAAAGTGCACTCAAACTTTTTCAGTAATGACATTGATTGTCCAAGAACCATTATAAGCAAGTCCTGGGATACCTTTGTAAGAGTACAGTTCCCGCTTCTACAACCTTCATAAAAAAATAATAAAATAACAATCACATTTGCATAATGCTTCAGAGTTCAGAAAACACTAGTCACACTGAAAGCAGCAATGGAGGGCTTGTATTTTATATTTATAGAAGAAACCACAATGGTAAAAGTAGGGGAACAGGAATTATAAGGAAAGAAG